ATCAACTAGACACTTAAATAAATAAACAGTTTAATAGAGACCCCTAAATGACGATTTTAAAAGTTGGTTCCCCAAAATAGGAATCATGTGAAAGTTGGTTCCCTTTTGGTACAATTTTTCAAAAAAAAAAAAAAAATGCAAATTTGACACAAACATCAAAGTGGAAGAAAGTCAATTTTCTAATTCCGAAATCTAATTAAGGGGGGATAATAGAATCTATTTAGGTGGTGTTTGGTTAAAGATATTAAACAGTAATCAATAGAAATGAAAATAAAATAAGCTATTTGTTTTTATATAATATAATGAGTTCATTTCCTAGAAGCCCAAATTTTCATTCCAGGTTTAAACCGGGGGAATGAAAGTTCATTCCCATTTTCATTTCTATTTTCATTCATTTGTCTGAATCAAACAGCCCCTTAGTGAAATTGTGGGTCTTTCGGCACTCAAGAAAGCGGTGTAGATAAGTTTTGGTTGAACCAAACTAAATGCCCGTATTCCATCTCTTTCGTTTAAGTATTCGTATGCAACATTGATTTACAATTGTTATCAATAAGTTTAATTAGTAATTACATATGTAGAATAGTTCATAACGAGTTTCTGTATGTGTTCAGCTCTATATAATAAATTAAGATGGTGTATGACAACATCATTTGTTTTAGTTCAGTCTCTGCTGTTCAAATAGCGAACCCACTGAACTGGTGGTTGTTGCTGATAGATTAAGGTGGGAAACTCTTGGTCTTGGCGCAGACCCATCCGAGACGGCAGAGAATCTGCGGAATTTGAACATCTGAGGGAGGTAATTGGGCGGGGATTGCTCTTTGTCCGATAATCAAGACAGATGGATTTAGGTTTTATCTTCTAATGGTCCGTTTTTTGTTAGTTCTTTGCGATGTATTATCGACAAAGCTTTCTTGGGTGTTGGTGAACGGGAGACGATATGGAACCATATGACTCATCCTAGAGTAAACATTTTCATGTGGAGGTTTATGCTCGATAGAATTCCACCCCGTGACATTTATCGTTCAGCCCTATGTCCGATTTGTGGATCTGAGGCTGAATTTACCCGACATTTATAGGCTGTTTACCAATACTTGTAGATAAGTGCTGAGTAACAAGTTACAATATATCAAAACATTTGACGCATTTAATGTTATATTTTCTCTAATACTGATAAAGTAAAATATTATTGTCCAATGTGAACGTTGAAAAAACTTTTTATTAATAGTTATTATAAAAAAATTGAAATGTTAAAAATTGGTTGATAATGGTAAAATGCTATTGCAACTTAGCTACTAACACACTAAGGGGTTGTACGGTTGTGGCTTAATGGGCTATATAACATATATGGCTTATTTGGTGAGCCATAAATAGGTGTTCGGTTGCGGCTTATTCATTCAGCCGATGGCTGAATCGTTTAGCTAGAAATCAAGTGTCCTTTACACTCAACCACAATTTTTTCACAACTACCCCCCTTTTTTTTTTTATAAAAAAGGCGGCTCATAAAACAGACTTGCCATCGATGTTCGTTCTTCTTCCTGCTTCTCTCTTCTTGTTGCCATCGTTGGTCCGTTCTCAGGTGTAATTCCTTTGCCCTACTCCTCCATCTCATAAACCCTCTATGGAATGAAGTAGCGACGGTGGAGTGAGAGAGGAGGACGATGATGAATATTAATGGGTACGAAGCAAGATGATCAGTTTGACCAATAAGGAAGCAAGATGAGTTTTTTGATCTCCATCGCCAACGTCATCTTCAAGTCTTCCGGCGCCATCTTCAAGCCTTCCAGTTCACCTCATGTGCCATCTTCTTTTGATTTTCGTCAGCGTCTTCTTCCGAAAAAAAACCTAGATTGTCTCCTTCATGAAGTAGATTTGAAAACCCCCATTTTTGATATTAGGTCTTAATAAATCCAGATCGTCTCCTTCATTAGGTCTGTGAAAACGGTGAAAAACTATGAACCATGGCGTCTCAAGTTTGCATTTCTTTCTCTACACTAAATTGTTTATGTGCATAATTATACGAAAAGATCTATTTTATCATTGAACTTGAAGATTTGGACTCAATTGAGGGCACAAATCAATTAGATTGGAAAAAGATATATAGTTATTGATAAAAGATATAGACGAAATGGTAAAATGGTCATTTATGACATTCAGACTGTTTGTTTAGCACAACAATCGAACAACAACGTATTTGTTAATATACAGACAATTATATCAATACAAACAACTATATCTATACATGTCTTAACAGAAAACGAACCGAACAACCCCTAACATAAAAATGGAAAAAGGTGGTTTGACAAAACCCACTTCTACCTTTTTATTCCACCGATTCCTAACCTAAATGCCATTAAATTTTCTTTCTTCTTCCTTCATTCCTTGGGGAGGGGTTGGAACCAAAATGATACCCACATACACGAGATGTTGCAGATGCGACATTTATGGAGTCATGTTGGGTAAGGTATGAACATGCATCACTTGCAGTTAAAAGTTCTTTTTTCTTTCCAAAAGTGATGGGTATAGGGTATAACCGGGATGGTGACTGGTAAGGAGCATTTCAAAGAGGACGGTCAACAATGAAATTATGGTAAGAGGTCAACTTTCTTTTGATAAACAAGTCATCTCTTACCAGGGTAAGAGCCTATTACCTGGTAAGAAGTAATAAGAAGCAAGTAAACAGACCCTTTTACTGTTCAAATATTCTGTGACTTCGGAGGTTTGGCGATCCATTGAGAGATGATGGTCCTTTCCTTTCTCGTGGATAGGTTGAGGATTCGATGATCAACGGTACCGAATCTCCTTTGAAGACAGATCTATAAGCAAAGCATTAGAAGTGGTGTTTTCTATCGGTTGTTATACTTTGTGGTGCTTTCGTAATAGGTGTGTTTTTGATAGTCTATCTCCCCGTAAGATTTCTATCCTTGTTTAGTTGGATTTTGACGAGGTGTAAGGATACTGATGACGATGAACAATCGCTTATTACTTGCTGTTAATTTACGGTCCCATTTTTTAACTTTTAATTATTTTTAAACCTCATTGTAAACGGTCGGAATCAATAACTTACGCGATGGTTCCGTTTAGTTTTTTTTTTAAATACAAGTTCGTATTGTAAATGAGTAATGATTTTGTGTTACGAGTGTATTTGGCATAATCTGCTGATAAGATAACTCTTTGTTGGTCCTTGCGAACAACTTAATGCACTACTGTCTTTCAATCCCTTGAGCGAAATGCGGCAAAAGAAAGAAAAATCCATTGACCGAACCCCTCATCTCCACCCCATAGGAACTACGAGATTACCCCAAGGACGCCTTTCGGCGTCCAGGGGTTACGGACCAACCATAGAACCCTGTTCAATAAGTGGAATGCATTAGCTGTCCGCTGTCAGGTTAGGCAGTAAGGTCAAGGGTCGGAGAAGGACAGTCACTCATTCTTAAAAACAGTCTTCTTAAGGCCAAAGAGTAAGCTGAAAAGGGGGAAAAAGCTCTCCATTCCTCGTTCTCTGGAAAATTATTTATCAATTCATATTTTGCATCCGCTAAGTTTTGAAAATTATCGATAAATTTTCCTTTTATGATTTTATAACTAATGCGTTTAGTTTTTATGTATATTTTAGTTATTTTAAGATCGACTATCACGATACCATTGAGACGTGATTTGCAAATAATCGAGCGTTGTCTGCGTTTGTATGCGGAAGTTGGAAAAGGTTTTGAGAAGCATGTCGCTAACCAAAATCAAGAAAACATTTGAGAGGTATGTTGATATCAGAAATTGACGATTTTATTGCTAGACAAGATGTCTTCTCGAAGCAGCATCGAAAAATATATCAACGGTAACAACCAATTAATCTAGAGGTTAATTGGGTGCTTAAGAGCGTTAATTTGGAAATAACGGGACAACAATTTTTATTTATTTATCAGTAGAATACAAAAGGGTCTCAAGGTTTACCAGATGCTTAACGGATAAGTGTATACCGAGTCACTTGTCTTATCGGTGAGATTGAGAATTTTACTGGGTAAGTGAAGGAGAACACTTTAACCGGTTTGCATGGACTCTTACATACAATCCATCTTGATGGCCGAGTATGTTACTTGACAACGCAAAAGAAGGTGGTGATTCTTACCGATAAGCACCTAAGTGCTTACCTGGTAAGCATTTGGTAAACGACTCCTAAGTGATTCCTATTTCCTAAATGTAATTATATATATACGTGGGGATATTTATGCGATGGATTTGCCTTATAATAAACGATTCTCCTTTTCTTGATTATATCGAATTTGATGTTGATCGTGTTGTAGGCAAGCCGAATATATCCTTTTAAAGCTAAAAGAGACGGGGAGATTCAGCCAAAAAGACATTGAACCTATCATCGAAGAGTTCAAAAACTTGACGTCTTAACAAAAGGAATATAAAAAATAAATCGTATTTATTTATGATATTTAATAATATAATTAAATTTAAAGATTTTCTATATTGATTCATTTTGAAGGTATTGACTAATCGATTATAATGATATAATTTATAAAAAAACGTATCGTGATGTATTAAAAATGGGTTAAGTAACACTTGATTAAATGGTTAGTAAAAATCAGCATCGAGAATGACGCCGGTTATCCGCTATATTAGTTTTAGTTTTGTTTTCGTTTTCTTTTGTTGGGAGTCACCATTTTTGACGCGCAACATCATTATTCATTCGTATAGAAGCTTGCAAACTCGCAATTTCATCCATGGATATCGGTATGCTTCCGTTTCTTTTCATCTTTAGTGCAATCACGATCTACACGAGCTAGTAAGCGAATAGATGTATACAATTAAGTTGGAAATTCTGATATAAATTCAGTAAAATTTAATCGAGTTTGGTATAGAAGCTAGCTTTGAAATATTGTTTTTCAGAAAATGGTGTTCACCAAACTTCATCGAACCAGATTGAGAAAACCAAACGTAATCAGATCTTCGAAATCGTTTCTGAATTCCAGAGTGTAATCGGTTTCTTTTGCGTCTACATGATTATGGGTACGCTATGCTTTTATCACTTCAGACACCATATATCTGGAAAGAAAACAAACAGTATCCTCGATGCTTTTTATTTCACTGCCGCTTTAGCAACTTCTATCGGGTATGGAGACCTTACTCCTGATACCAATCTTGTAATGCTACTTGTCTCCCTCTTTGGCCTCTTGGGTATGATTCTTTTCGGGCTCATGGTGAATATGGTTATTGAGATTGTATTCAAGCCAGATGAATATGATGCAAACCAACAAACACGAGATGAATCCGACTTAGTTGATGACACTTGCATGACATCATTGATATTGTTTGCGTTTCATATGGGCGGTGGGACGTTTTTATTGCATTTTCTTGAACGTATGGACTATATTAAGGCGTTCTTTTGTGTCACATCAACAATTACATGTATAGATAGCGATGGTTGCTTCATAACGAAAAGCGGACGCGTATTTTCGCTATTTTGGATGGTAAGTGGTACCATTTTTATAGGTCATTTGCTCTTTTCTTTCATGGAGCTAACCACTCTAGAAAGACGAATGTCGTTGGCGAAACTGTTTCTTGAAAGAAGGATGACTCGTGCAGAGTTCAACGCAGCTGATATAATGTAAGTACAATTAATTATTTAACCATCAAACATTTATTACGACCTTTACAGTAGCTTTTGAGGGATATCTCTCTGTAACAAAATCGGGTTTACTGGACAATTTTTAGATGTCGTAGTAGACTCTGTTTTATAGGACTTAAATTTATAGGATCAAATAATAAGAACGGTCTAAATCTAAAGGTGTTGCAATAAATTTATATGATGTTTTTGGTGTCTAAACAAACTTTTCAGGATACTTCTAATGCTAAACGTCATATTAGCTATTTTATAGGACACTTTTGATAAGTCTCCAACAAACACTTTAACGGGTAAGCGTATATCGAGTCACTTGTCTTATCGGCGAAATTGAGAATTTTATTGGGTTTGCCTTATAATAAACTATTCTCCTTTTCTTGATTATATCTAATTTGATGTTGATCGTGTTGCAGGCAAGCCGAATATATCCTTTTAAAGCTAAAAGAGATGGGAAGATTAAGCCAAAAAGACATCGAACCTATCATCGAAGAGTTACAAAACTTGTCGCTATGATATTACATTTTAACAATCATCCGGGGGGACTCGGGGTATGACACAGATTAAACGTCCTGCTTACACAAACATTCAATGACGTCAAACAAGGATGTTATCGTAGATGGTATTCACTATTTTCTTTTATGTACTAGCTGCGTATTTGTACGATATTGGATGCAAAATTTTATGGTAAACCCCTTGTGGCCACGGAGGTTCAAATGCGGTGACTCCGAGCTATCTGCAAAGCAGGTGGTTGCCCTGAGACTAGTCGGTTCGCATAGCGAGTTAGATATCCAGGTTAATCAATTTTTTTATGGTAAATTAATGCAATTTGAAGACTTGGGCAAAAAACTTGAAAAAATATCGATTTTTTTTATTAACTTGGATATCCAACTCGCTACGCGAGCCGATTAATCCCATGGCGACTACCTGCTTTGCAGATAGCCCGGAGTCACCGCATTTGAACCTTCGTTGCCACAAGAGGATTTTTATTCCTCCTTGGATTTGAAAAAAATATCGATATTGTTGTCAAGTTAAAGGGAAATTGACCGAAATAGTCAATTTATCCAACTCAATTCACTTAATAGTCACATTTTCAAGCAAATTCTTAAAATAGACGGATTTTAAAAAATATATGTTTTTTAATCATACATTATTTAATTTACTTTATATATTTCACTATTCATTATCATTATTTATTTTTCATCTTATTATATTATTAAATATCATAAATACATATGAATTATTTTTACTACAATTTATATCCTTATAATTATTTATATCTGTTTTATTGAAAAGCCACAGTATATTAAAAGGAAAGGGAGGTTTTTTGTGCAAGAAGTAAAAACCAAATAAAAAAAATATCAAAAATAAATCGTATGTATTTATGATATTTAATAATATGATTAAATTTAAAGATTTTCTATATTAATTATTTTGAAAGTATTGACTAATCGATTATAATGATATAATTTATATAAAAAAACGTATCATGATATATTAAAAATGGGTTAAGTAACACTTAATTAAATGGTTAGTAAAAATCACAATGCAGCGAGATACACCTCGATTTTAATATTCTATTTTATTTTTTATCTCAGTAAATGTTATAATACGATTTATGTGTTTTTAAGAAAACAATAATGATTTTATTTTTGAATGAAATATAAATTTGAAAATATCATAAAAATTTGAAAAAAATATATCGATGTTAATATCAAATCAACTATTTAAAAGTTCTTATTTTTATGTAATTTCTTTAATTTTTTTATTATAATTTAATTTAAATTTAATAACGAAATAATTTATTTTTGGTTTAATAATATAATATTTTATAAAGATAATAGTTAAATATTCTGTTAGAACTCAATGATTATCATGCATTTTATATTTAAAATAAGATGTTTATCGTATATTTGATTATGTTTATTTGCAGTTAGTTACACGAATTCAGATATGGAACTTTAATGAGTTGTACTTACACACAATCTACTTGTAATTTTGAGTTTTAAGTAACATGCATTAGTAAGCAGTACTTTATACATAAAAATTGGTTTTTAAAAGTTTTTGTCAAGTGCTTTATAATATACTACAGACTAAAAAGATATCTATTTTTTGAATTTCTTTTTCTGTAATTTACAAACACATAAAAAAAATGCAAACGGCACAAATATCGGTAGATGAAAGTCAATTTTCTAATGCCGAAATCTAATAATTAAGGGGGATAATAGCATCTATTAATTTAGTGAAATTATGGGTTTTTATTATTATAGATTCTACTTTTTAAGTTTTTTTATTACAATAATGTACTTTTAAAATATATTTTATTAAAGCATTGTACTTTCAAAATTTACCCGTTATAACATTGAACCTGTTACCTTTTGAACAAGTTTTTCTTTGTTGACGTGTCAAACTTAAAATGACATGAAAGCCACTTAGGATAACCTGTTATAATGGATTACATGTCATTTTAAAAGAAAATTTTAATTTAAAAACAATTTTTGAAAATGAAAAAGGCCTCAATCCCTCTCAATCGCATTGTTCGACAGTTCGTTCATTACCGATGATTGTTCGTTCACCCTCAWTTCCTCATCGACCCTCACCCTCTTCTTCCTGATCRAATCTAAACCCTAATCGACCCTCATCCTCTTCCTCATCGACTTAGTGCTGTGATTTTCAACAGGTAAGTTTAATATGTTTTACAGCCATGTATATGACACTTRGAATAAGTTCACCAAGTTCTCTAGAGAATCAGTGCACGATACTTTTCTATATGCAAGAGAATCTGCTTCATGGAGGTCCTGTGCATGATACTGTTCTAATAGGCCTTAGAGAAGGTTTGTTTAGGCCTACTATCAAATTGAATTGGGGATGATGATCGTAGATAGAGCAGGTAATGAAAACAATGTTACATATATTATATTTATTATGAATATTAATGTGTGTACAACAACTCGAGATAGATTTCATCACGTAACTCGACATCACCTTCTTCAACGTGTAAGTACACATCCACATAGACCGATCGAGAACCCATCGAGACCGAATAAAATCTGGTATCGAGCTTTTTCGAGTGTCAAACAACCGACCTGATAAAATTCATAGAAAATCAAACATGTTAACCAACATATATTCCTCAATTTCATATTCATCTTGAATTCATATCTTTAGCTGCTCAACTTACCTTAAAGTAACCGTAGATGGCATGCATGCCTTCCTTCAACACCAAAAAAAGGAATTTGATGTTTCAACAATTAGCATGCCATCATCCATAATTTTCGAATGAAAAATGCGGCTGTAATTGGGCAGCCATGGCTACTATTAACCAATGCATAAGCCATAAAGCTACTGCGTCTTGACTTCAGTTTGAATACGGTTTAATCGACTACGTATTGAAGCATATGACATGAGCAATTTAGTCCTTTGCGCTTTCAATTCTTTTACTAACGGAATGTCCTTGGAACAAGTCCTCAACAATTAGATTCAGAGCCTGTAGAAACCATAGTATTCAACATAAAAAGGCTAGATTTGTAAAACAGATTATAAGGTATGTATGTATGTATGTCAATTCTTGAAAAACAGAAAACTACAAGAACCAACTATAAACAGACAAAACAAAAGAACCTATATAAATGCAAAGTGCTTAATGCAGCAGATTGTGTGGATGGATCGTTTGCTACCCATATTTGACATCAGAAACCAAAAATCACAGAAGCTAAACTCATTTTGGTATTATCACAAACAGTTAATGAGCAGGCCTTTTGTAAGGCAAGGGCTTCAAATTACTATACAAGCTCACAAACCCTTCAAATTCAAGCTCCAAAAATTCTTTGTTTATCACAAAACATGGAATGAACGTCACTGTATAAAGAAAATCAAGAAATGAACTCCAGAAACTCTTTCTATCACAAGCAAAACCGAATAAAACCTCATGGCCGGAAATACTCTAAAGTTATACTCGAATACCATGAGTGTAATTCTTGGGAAATTTCTTAACTCCATGCAAAAGAAAATCAGATTGACCCAAAGAAATCGTGCATAGCATTTTCTTGTTTAAAACCTAAAGAAGTAGAATTAAGAACTATGAAGCCTAAAGGTGATGACTACGCGATGTTGGTGTAGCTAAGCATTCTGTAGTTGAGAGGGTGGGAGTAGAAGAAGAAGACACCACCTTAGAAAGATTCATTGCCGCTTGGTACGACCTGAAATCTGAAATTTGGATCGGTGGACTAAAAGTTTTGGATCGAACCCTCGAAAGGAAGCCTAGAGAAGGTGACCTATTTTAGAAGATGAACCTCATCTTTTTTACGTAAAGATGAAAACAGGTGGCCACGGAGGTTCAAATGCGATGACTCCAGACTATTTGCAAAGCAGGTGGTCATCCTGAGATTAGTCGGCTCGCATAGCGAGTTGGATATCCAGGTTAATAAAAAAAAAGATTGAAAACATAAAACTGAATTTCATAATACAAAGGTATGATGCATGGTAACATGTATAATGTGGATATTAAGGGGCCGTTTACTAAACACTTACCCGGTAAGCGTTGATCGAGTAACTTTCCTCACCTGATGTACATGGTAAGGACCGAAAATCTTATCTGGTAAGAGCGATGATAATGATAAAGCGTCTTACCCGGTAAGTGATGATGATGACTCTTACCCTGGTAAGCATTTACCGGGTAAATTGTTACATATGATACCATTTTAATATACTACAATTTTATCTGGTAAAATAGATGATAGTGTTGACTCCTACGGTAAGCACTTACCGCATAAGTATTTGGGTAAACAGTCTGTAACTTGTAATTAAGAAATTTTTTTAAGAACGCGTACATGCTTTAACTTGTAGTACTTAATGCTTTAAAGGTTGTAATTAAGAGTTTTTAGGTAATAAATGCTTTATGATATAGTATAGATAAATTATTACAAATACGATTTTTAAAATAATATTAACACTTCATTACAGATACACTATTTATTATTTACTAAAAGGGCACTCGTGCAATGCATTGAGACATACCTTGATTTCAGTGATTCGCATTATTCTTTTTTATATCAATATAATACGATTTTATGTGGTTTTGAGAAAACGATAATGCTTTTATTTTTGAATAAAATATAAATTTGAAAATATCATAAAATTTTGAAAAAATATATATAGATATCAGTATCAAATTAATCTTTTTAAAAGTTCTTGTGTTTTGGTGTAATTTCTTTAATTCAATTTTTTTAATTATAATTTAATTTATGTTTCGTAACAAAGAATAATATAATTTTTTATAAAAATAATAACTAAGTATTCTGTTAGAACTCAATGATTATCCTAATTATATTTTAGATTTTTTATTTTTAAAATGAGATGTTTATCCAATATTTAATTATGTTTATCTGCAGTTAGTTACATGAATTAAAAAATAGAGCTTTTAATAAGGGGGTGTTTGGGATTGCTTATCAAATGTGCTTTTTAACTTATTTCAGTCTGACACCGGAGATAAGCTGTTTTTTAGTGTTTGGGTAATGAAAAAAAAAAAACTGCTTATACCGGTGCCAAATCGGTAATAAACAGTTTTTGATAAGTTAATCCTTCTTGACTTATGAAAAACTGCTTATTACCAGTTTACCATTTTAATTCTGTTTTATTAATGTTTATTAATTATTAATCTTATTGATATAAATTTTTGTCAAAAATATTATTATAAATGATGAAAAATAAATTTTTACATGTTAAAAAATCAAATAAGTTAATAATCAAAAATATTATTATATGAAAGACTGTCCTTTTTGGTCATTTTACATATATAAGCAAAATTTGTCAAACATTAAAAAACAACTTATCAGCTTATTGCTTTTTGGTACCGCTATAAGCTAATCCAAACACTTTTTACAAAACTCCGATTTGATACCACATAAGTTAATAAGCACTTTTACAAAAAAACATAAATTGTTTTAAATAAGCAATCCCAAACACCCCCTTAGGTGTTGTGTCTTATTGGATAAGACGTTAGTCTAATAGATTGTTCTTTTATTTATAATAAGAGGTTAAAACCTTTTACTATCACATTATTAGACATACCAGGTATATTTTAACAATAATGCAAATCCATTCAGACAAATATCAGTAACAACAAGAAGTAATCATATTTAGGGCTGTAAACGAATCGAACGTTCAGCGAATCGTTCGGCGGGAAGTTCATTTATGTTCGTTTATTCAATAAATGAACGAACATGAACAATTTTTTTTGTTCGTTTAGTTAAACGAACGAACATGAACAAGAGTCTCGTTCGTTCATTTATGTTCGTGAACGTTCGTTCATTTTACCGTGTTTACATTCGTTTATGTTCGTTTATATATTAAATTTAATATATAACATTTTATTTATTTAATTTGAATTCAAATAATATTTATTTATATTCGTTTAACCTGTTCTTTTATGTTCGTTTAGCCCGTTCGTTTATGTTCATTCGTTTACGTTTGTTTAGCATGTTAATGAACCCAACAAAATACTGAAGCTAAATTGAGAATTTTTTTATAATGAACCCAAATTTTATCAATCAAACAATGAATAAAATCAAAACAAAAGCATCACACTTAAAGAACATAAATAATTACAATCAAATCCTAAAATTAAAAATTCTAAACTCTGAGAAATTTACGAAATCAACTTGCAAAATCGAAAATGTCTGATATGGGGTCTTAAACAATGAAATTGTGGTTGAAATCATGTCTTGCGTTTTTTCTTATAAGGTCGATTCCAATTGAACAAGTGTATTTTTATGATCAATTCAACGCAATTGACTTTTTCCCTTGAAGACTATATATGGGAGCTCCATATGGGCCAGAAACATGGTTTCATGTCGTGCTGCATTATACCAAGACTATTCTTACGACTTCATTACTTCACGTAATGTCAACCTATCTGTACCATTGACGTCAAGTCTTTTAAATTCTTCCATTATAGCTGCTTCATCCTCTTCTTGGGTGGACATACCCTCCTCTATTAGACCGTCAGGGATCCTGCGGAATCATCAAATTAAGTAGACAATTAACATAAGAAATTAGGACCCACGGAACACAAATGACCCGTATGACATATAGAGCCCACTTATTGGATCTCGTAACCCTCTTGTATGATCAGTATTAGTAGTCAGACATGCCTAGCAACTACATTACATGTCTCATGGTTACTTTTACTTACATTAGATCACCATCATCACGTTTTGGAGCAATTGGCATCATTGGTGGAGCACCTGGTCGAGTAGCTGACATCTTTCTTTTCAATACTTTTGACCGTTGTCTGTTTTCAACGTATATATCCGTAAAAGTAAATAACATGTAACCTTTACACATAGCACCAAATAACATCCAAACTAGTGCGAAGACCCTTCCACGTTTTGTTGAGAAACATATTTCTGTACCTGCACTTGTGATCGTTATACTGATACAATACAAGGCATGAATAAAGTCCAATTCCTCGATCAAAATCAGGGAAGGCGTCCCAACAACCATAAGCACCGCAAGGATGACCATTTTTTTTTTGATCCCTTTCAGGATTGATTTCTTCATAGTAGCGACTGTTTGATCCTTACTTGACAAAAGGTTACGCAAGTTATCTATTTGTTGCTCGTCTACAACGTTTAATATCATACTTAGCACTTTCCCAATAACACACAAACCCAAAAGAGAGAAGATAGAAGCAAATATTAGTGCAAGAGTGTCGTTGGGAGAAAGGTCGCCATACCCAACAGAAGTCATTATAACGAAGGAGAAATAAAAAGCGTCAAGGATGCTGTTTGTTTTCTTTCCACAGATGTGGTGTCTGGCAACATAAAAGATAACAATACTCGAACCCAAGTAGATAACAAAGACGATGATTGTATCCCATACATCATCTGAGTTCCCAAGCTTCAGTATATGATCTTTGAAAGAAGGCTTCGATGGTCTGATCGATGACGCTTGGTCTCCATCGATAGAATGTCCCACAGAATTTCGATATGTACCATTCTTCGTGTGTCCTGAAAAACAATTCAAAGCTTCAATATCAATATTGTTGATGAACATAAGCATACCACTAAAAATTAGGCTTTTACCGCCCGAAATCCATCGGAAAAGTGGGTTTATGATGAATGATGAATACCACTGCCGAAAAAAACCTCGCTAGAAAACATCACCCGCAGAATCACCGTAACTCTTAGTTAATGTTACATGGATGTCTTTATAAAGAAGACGTCTAAGCCGTACAATAATGATTAGGGTTGGGTTGTCGTGTGGGTGTGAGATCAACCTGTTTTCTTGAGACCCATGAAAAGAATAGGTGTAAAGTATGAAATCATATTGAACATTCACAACAAAAACACTACGAAGGTACAAAAACTAACCTTCAATTCAAGCGTTTTTGTTTTGAAGGTTCACTGGTATTTTGTACTTTCATACTGTTTTGTTGTTAATGGTCATTGTTATTTTGTGTTCTCATCAGTCTCATGAAAACATATTGGTCTCACATGATCTGAAATCATAATGATTATTCACTAAGACATAGTTGAGCAAAATGTTGATTAGGGATAACCTTGACACGGCCTACATAGAACCCGACACCTACAAACCACATGTGAGGAAATATTTGAGAACTAACTCAACATATGAGACTAGCAAAAGGGTTCAAGCCTGTCTCACATGATATTCAAACTTGAAACTGTTGTGTATTTTAACAAATGAGCTACATGCTGGGAGCATCTATTAAGACACACACACACACACACACATATATACACACATATAATATCACGTGTCATGAACCTACCTGACACTTTAATATTAGGTTTCATGTCTGCCCAGCGTAACTGTTTTATCTCCCTGCGCCTATAACGGACATATGCATCACGCCTATGATATCACCAAATTAAATAGATACAATTAGCATAAGGCCAAAAGTTAATTGACTTCTCATCATTAATATTTAGTGGTGAGAAAATGTATAGTGGTTATTAACTTACTACAATAAAATTGGGTTTATAAAACCTTAACTTTTTTTAAGGTATTGTTTGGTTCATTGAATTCAAAGGTATTGAAATGATTAATTCCTTTGATCAAATTCCAATTTTTTGGTTCACATATTGAAATGGATGAAATCCTATAAATTCGACAAATTAAGGAATTCATCATTCTTTAGTATAGATGAATGAATTGAATTTCATCCCGTTAACCAACACCGCCTACCCCCTACCACCACGACTATGCTACATGCTATTATTGTCACTGTCATACCTTACCCCTACCCCACCACCATGCCATTATTGTCGTTGTTACAACTTCCACCACCCCTCCCCCATTTGCACCCACCACTGACCATCATACCACTACTGCTGTCGACATAGTTGCCACCCCCACCCCTTCACCTACACACCCCATCTCCACCCTCACCCGCCTACAGTCATCCCCACCTAACCCGCACCAACCACCATGCCATTATTATTGTCATAAAAACTACCACACCATTTACACAAACAACCGACCACCATGCCAATATTGACATATTGTCGTCGCCATAGCTACCAACCACCCCCTGCCACCACAAGCCACATACATGGTGGCAGGAGGTGTAAGGTTTTGGGGGCAAAGGTCGGGATAGAGGTGTAGGTGGGTTGGGGTGGCAACTATGATGACAACAATAAAGGCATGGTGGTCGGTGGGGTGAGGTTGGGCCCGGGGCCAACCACCATGCCACTACTATCATGCCACTATTGTTTTCATCACAACAACCACCCCACCCAACCGACCATGTGCAACTACTGTTGTTACAATAATCACCCCACCCAACCGACCATCATGCCACTACTAATGTTACAGTAGCCAACAACACTCACCCCACCCTCACCGACCATCATGCCACTATTGACGTTACAGTAGCCAACAACACTCACCCCACCCTCACCGACCACCTATTGTCATCATAATAACCACCCCCACCTACCTTGTAGGGATGCAGGTGGAGACGAGGCAAGGGCATGTGGATGCAGGGGCTGGATAGGGACGCGATGAGGCAGGTCATGATGGGTGCAAAGGGTTACCACCTTGGCCACCATACACCCTCATGGGCGGTGGGATGAGAGAGGCCGAGAGCATGGCGGGGGGCATGGGTGTTGGAGTGATGGCTACTAACCACCCATCCTACCACCATGCTACTACTGTTGTCGTCACAACTATCACCCTACCCTCCCCCCAAACAAAGATGAACATTCAATCTTTTATGAGATTTTGTTCCAGTTCCTATCAACCAAATGTATGGTCAAATTCCATCAAATTTTAATTTCAATTCTTTCAAAGCCAAATTTCTTTTTTTTTAGATCTCAATTCCACCAAATTCATTATATGAACCAAAACCTTCCAAGAGTCATAATAGACTATTTTACGGAACTTAAGTTTATAAGAACAAATAAATTAAGTTGTGTCCTGTGTAAATATGTTGCAATAAGTTTATATAATGTTTTTGGACGTTTTAATAAGTTTCTATGACAATTTTAAAATAAAGGTTCCTATTAATTTTGTAGATATTATTTGTAATAGCGTTTTTAGGACCCTTTTCAAAAGCACCTATAATAAAAAACTAAAAAAGCACTTCATTAATTTTAAAAGTATCTTAAAAACTATTTAAGACAAAAACTTTCTATAAACTTATTGCAGCACTATCACATAGGTTACAAAAGTGTTTAGTATTATTACCTTAAGTCCCATAAATCAGTCTATTAGGACACTTAGAGCATCTCCAATAAATTCTCTACAATTTCTCTAAAATAGAAAACTATATAAAGATCTCTAAATTGATTACATTCAGTTCCAACAAATTCTGTATTTTAAAGATTTCAATATTAATTACAATGTGAAAATATTTTATAATTTCATCATCCCGATACACTTTTAAAAATTATATAAAATAATGATAATTCAATCTCATCGGTTGGATAAGAAAATCGTTTCTCTCATATCATTAAGATATCAGGTTTTAGAGAATTATCTAAATTTAGAGTTTTCTCTAGTTTAGAGAACACACTACAACAAAATCGGGTTTATAGAATGCAAAAAATTTCTAAGCGTCCAAATAAACCATTTTATAAGTCTTTAACTTATAGTAGCAAAAAAATAAAGCATGACATAAGTTATAGGATGTTTCTGAGCATCATAACAAGTTTTTTAAGATTTTTTTTATAAAAAAAAAGTCGTATTAGTTATTTTATAGAATACTATTTGAAAAAATGTCTTATTAAAACAAGTTTTATATAAAAAGATGGTTTACAGGACACTTTTTCAAAAGTATCATATAAAATAGCTAATGTGACACTTTGTATCAAAGGTGCCCTAGAAATTTGTTAAAACATCCAAAAACGTCCTATGAACTTATTATAACGTATTTAGATTTGACACTTTATTTATTGCTCATATAAATTAAGTGTTACAAAACAGTCTGCTATGACCCTTAGAAATTGATAGAGTCCTACAAACCTAATTTTATTGTAATGACAATATACATAATCTGTAAAAGCAAAATAGATAACAAATCCTCTATTTTCTCTACTGTTGTAAATACTTTCAGATATTTATGGTGTTCTATAAACCTGATTTTGTTGTCATGATTAGGGCTGTAAACGAACTGAACGTTTAGTGAACCGTTCGGCGAAATTTTTTTTTATTTAATAAATGAACGAACGTGAACAATTTTTTTTGTTCGTTTAGTTAAACGAACGAACATGAACAAGATTCTCATTCGTTCATTTATGTTCATGAACGTTCGTTCATTTACCGTTCGTTTACGTTAGTTTATATTCGTTCATTTATATATCAAATTTAATATATAGTCTTTTATTTATTTACTTTGAATTCGAATAATATTTATTTATGTTCGTTTAACCCGTTCGTTTTCCCATTCGTTTAGCATGTTAATAAACGAACATAAATGAACACGAACACACCTGATTTCTAAACGAACGAACACGAACACAAAGATTTTCGTTCGTTTATCGTTCGTGTTCGTTCGTTTGTTCGGTTAAGTTAAACGAACGAACATGAACAAGCCTCCGTTCGTGTTCGTTCGTTTGTTCGGTTAAGTTAAACGAACGAACATGAACATGCCTCCGTTCGCATTCGTTCGGTTCGTTTACAACCCTAGTCATGATCAGAATTACTTACCTTATAAAGCCATCCTCATCAAAATCATTTGGCTGCAATTCTGCAAGTGTGGGCTTTCTTTCGAGATTCTTTTTCACGGACAACCATTTCGTTCTTTGCCTCCATACCTCCGTTACAACACCGGTAATGGCAGTTAGAGTAATCATTCCGTATAATATCCAAATTAGCGCAATGATCCGTCTACCTTCCGTTGAAAAGCATTCATCGATACTTAAGACGGTTGTAATTGTTGAAGAAACACAATATAATGCACGAAAAAAGTGCATATTCCCGATGCAAACCAAGAGAACGATCCCGCCAACCATATGCACTGCTAGGGAGACTGCTAGCACCTTCCAGTACTTTATCATCATTATGCTCGAATATTGCATCTTTCGATGATTTTTCGCTGAATCAAGTACCTTAGATGGTTTCGGTTGAGTGGCTAAAATTTGGTTCGCACCTAGACTCATCAGTGCCCCAAAAATGAACATACCCACAATGGCGAAGCAAATGGCAAGTAGTATTGCAAGACTGTTATTAGGAGTAAGGTCTTTATACCCACTAGAAGTCATTAAAATGATGGCGAAATAACAAGCATCAAGGATACGTTTTGTGTTCTTTCCACAAAATTGGTGTATGACGAAATAAAAAGATATCGTGGCAACAAATACGTAGCCAAGACAACCGATCCCAAATATCTTCAACTCATAATGTTTCCACGGTTTGGTTGATGAAGCGTCCTCGTTTCCATCTTTGGTCGTCATGACAGCACGGCGTACATCACTTGTTAAGAGTCCTGAAAACAATCCAGAACTTCAACATCAAAATTGTTTAACTACAGAGGTGCGGAGATGCAGAGGTCTGATGGAATCCGGTGCAATAGCAAAATTGTTGGTGTACATATATGAGTAAATAGCAACTGAATTCCTTGTTTGCGGGATTAATTATTATCAACCAAGATTTTGTATAGCACAACAATTAGAGCTTGTAGTAGAGGTGTTCTTGGTCCAATTTGGATGGTTTAAACCCCCAAATCGCAAACTAACCAAACTGCAACGATAGTTTAGAAAAATTTCTAAATCCAGTGGTTTGGCATCAAGTTACCAAACCGGACCACAAAAGACGGTATGATCTGACTGGTTTTGACGGGTTTTTGGCATATTATGGGCTTTAAACAAAAAAAAGCGTAACATATATCTCCAAAAGAAATTTCTACCAATAACCCATTCAAAAATTATAAAAGAAACATCTATCTCTAAGATATAAAAAAACATTGAGCAAGTTAAAAAACGTTAAACAAAGTTCACCAATAGACAAACATTGAATGTAACATTTTGGATGAATTCTTATTTAACTAGGCTACAAATGTTGAACATGCAACATGAAAACTAAACAAATACTGTTTGGGGATATGGATAACTCGGAGGCAATCTTCCAGGAGGTACTCCAAAAGAAGATGTTACTGTTGTAGTCTCTATTACTGTGAAACAGTATACGTGACAAAACAATGAAAGTTTTCTTGCTGCTCTACAAAATCCTGAACATGTATCCCCTAGCTCTCTATCTATACTTGTTGTTTTTGAATATTTTGATGTGTTCCCCAACGGTCTCCTGGGTATACCAGTCTGGAAAGTTAAATTCACCATCGATTAGTCCCGGGAGCTTCTCCTATTTCCAAGACTCCCTACCGAATGACTACAACTAAAATGAAAGAGTTTAAAACTCAACTTGATGATTTATTGAAAAAAGGTTTATTTCAGCCCAGTGTTTCACCCTGAGGAGCTCCAGTTCTCTTTGTAAAAAAGAAAGACGGTACGATGCGTCTTTGTATCGATTACCAGGAGCAAGTGTAGCATATATAGGCAACCAACATTGTTAACTTTCTAGCATCCCTAACCCTTTAATATATATACTAGAAGAGTACTCGCGCAATATAGTGAGACACATCTCGATTTTAATGTTTTATTTTATTAGTTGTTTCTGTCGATGTTATACTACGATTTTATGTGTTTTTAAAAAAACAATAAGGATTTTATTTTTGAATAAAATATAAATTTGAAGATATTATAAAAATTTGAAAAAAAAATAATATATCAAATTAACTATTTAAAAGTTCTATTTTTTATGCAATTTCTTTAATTTTTTTTATTATAATTTAATTTAAGTTTAATAACGAAATAATTTATTTTTAGTTTAATAATATAACATTTTATAAAAATGATAATCAAGTATTCTGTTAGAACTCAATTATTATCCTAATTATATTTTAGATTTTTTATATTTAAAATGAGATGTTTATCCTGTATTTGATTATTTTTATTTGCAGTTACACAAATTCATATATGGAGCTTTAATAAGTTGTACTTACGCACAATCTAATTGCAATATTGAGTTTTAAGTAATATGCATTATTAAACAATACTTTACGCATAAAAAGTGGTTTTTAAGAGTTTTTTTTGTCAAATGCTTTATAATATAGTATAGATACACAACTACATCTTCCAACATTTTACATTTAAGTATGTGAATATCTTTTTTGAACAAATAAATCATTAAATTTAATGAAATCGAATAAATAAATTTTTGAACTTAGTAGAACGGTAAAACCTAATTGACACGTGTTCCTCAAAACACAAATGAGCTTTTAGGGGGGATTTTGAAGGTGTATAAGGGAACAAGAAGAGCACAAATGAACTTTGCATTCCTCTGTTACCTTTAATAATTTTGGGAGGCCTACTCCCCATAAAAATTGTCTACCTGAAACTGTCCCTTGACCCGTACGTCCTGACACAAGGTTAGAACGTTGTTTCTTTATTTTCACATGTATGCCTTGTTATTGAGCTTTAACTAACGTCAAACACGAATATGTTTAATTAATTACAGAAAATTTAGCTACAGAAGAACACTTTTTCATTTTGACGAGAGTGCATAATGTTAACGTGGGAGTATCTTCCTAGCATTTCGAGCATTTTTACAACATAAGATTTCCTACTATCTTGGTTAATTTCTTTCTTAAGAGCTCAGTTGACCTCTGGACTAGTTAGCTTCACCCATCGCATCATCTCAATTAACCGTGTTTGGAAATTTAATTTCTAAAGAAATTATGACTACTATTACATGATCACCATTATCGATAAAATTAGGTACTAAACAACACTATGAGTGAATCTTCGAAGTTAGAATCTCTATATGTCAATCTCATATATACTTAGTACACTTTATTACTCATTTACAACATGTATTACGTTAATTGCACCTACATATAGTTGAAAACACATATACTACTAGCTGCTGATATCAAATTAACATTCTCACATGTTTCAGTCTTCTTTTGAATTTGGTTGTGATTTTCTTTTCTGGATTTGGTTGTAATGTCGCGTACGGTTTTTATCGTGAGTTTTTTTAGTCATCGTTGTCGTCCGTAAGAGCTAAGATGTAGTTATGAATAGGAACCCAAGGCCAAAATCTACATTTTATTAAATAAAATGGAATAAAAAGCCAATTAGAATTAACTTACCACGTTAAGCATATTTAATAAGATTAATTAAAAAAATAAGTATATGTCTTCTTTCCTACGCATGTTCCAAAACATAATAATGATATATTACTTTATATCCTCGTACATGAGAACAATGCAATTATTGCAACAACTTCTTTAATTAATCTATTTCTTTTAACTTATTTATTTTAATAATTCAGATCACTTTTTTTATTAACCTGAATATCCAACCCGTTATACGAGCCAATTAATCTCAGAGTGACCACCTTCTTTGCAGATAGCTCGGAGTCACCACATTTGGAACCTCCGTGGCCACAAGAGGATTTTTATTTCTCATTGGATTTGAACCTGAGACATCCTGATACTTTTGACCTTTGGAGCCAAGCTCAAACCAATCAGACACCATCCTTGTGGTTCAGATCACATGTTTTTATGTGTAATTGCTAGAAAATTATATATTCCATCCATTTACACTTCATTAAGGGGTTGTTTGTTTACCTCTTGATAATTTCATTAAGATGTAGAATCTGAATCGTTAAAAAAAAGTCTGCCTTTTAATGTTTTTAAAACTCTCTGAATGATTTTGTATCACGAGTCTCCCTTAACCATTCCACATCCTAATTTCATTGTAAATAATTAACAAACAATTATATTTCATTTTGCACTATATCATGAAAACCTCTTAATCATTCTAAGTATTTAATCATTATGCACCAAACCATTCAGTAACTGCATAACAACCCTTAATTAACAAAAAATTTCTTATAATTTTATACCCATATAATGATTTGAGTTTGCTATGAATTCTTTTAGTTATCTCAAAACTGATCATTATAGAAGACGAATTTTGAGAAGAATCATTCCAACCTTTTTAAAATCATAAATTTTCTTATTTTAATCGTTATAACATTAAAAAGCTTGGCATGTTTTTGTTTGCTTTTATATATTATACCACAAAAAATATCAAATAACATGATTTGTATGTTTACTTTTATAGAAATGTTGGATCGATCGAAGTATGTACATGTTGATATATCCAGACATCAACGATTACCCGATAATAAATAAGAAAATAAACCTTAACTTAACCTCGATTTCGAATGTATACGTATCATAGTCTTAAAGTTGTTGGATGGTTCTCACGTTTGCATTTTGATAACAAATACTACAACAAAATCGGGTTTATAAGACGCCCCCAATTTCTAAGTGTCCTAATAGACCTCTTTATAAGACTTAGTTTATAAGACCAAAAAAATAAACCGTCCTATCTAAACGCGTTGCAATAAGTTTATATGACCTTTTTTTGATGTCGTAATAAGTTATTCAAGACACTTTTAATACAAAGCGTCTCATTAGCAACTTTATAGGACACTATTTGAAAAACTGTCCTATAAAAACAAATGTTCTATAAAAAATTGAGTTTATAGGACACTTTTGAGAAAATGTCATATAAAGTTGCTAATGCGACACTTTGTATTAAAAATATTCCAAAAAAACTTGTTAAGATGCCTAAAAGTGTCATATAAACTTATTACAACACCTTTAGATAGAACACTATATATTTTGGTCTTATAAATTAAGTCCTATAAAGCGGTCTATTGAGACGCTTAGAGATTGGGAGTGTCCTATAAACCTAATTTTGTTGTAGTAAAACATATATGTTAGATGATCGATAGGTATATATTACATAGCGTTCCGACCTTATTTCTCAATTTCATATAACTAAAAGAAGTGCCAGTTGTTGCTGATAGATTAAGGTGGGAAACTCTTGGTCTTGGCGCAACCCATCCGAGATGGCAGAGAATCTGAGTAATTTGAACATCTGAGGGAGGTAATTGGGCGGGGATTGCTCTTTGTCCGATAATCCAAACAGATGGATTTAGGTTTTATTTTCTAATGATCTGTTTTTTGTTAGTTCTTTGCGATATATTATCGACAAAGCTTTCTTGGGTGTTAGGTGAAAGGGAGACGATATGGAACCATATATATGACTCCTCCTAGAGTAAACATTTTCATGTGGAGGGTTATGCTCGATAGAATTCCACCAGTGACATTTACTATTCAGCCTTACGTCTGATTTGTGGATTCGAGGCTGAATCTACCCGACATGTAGAGGCTGTTTACCAATACTTGTAGATAAACTCCTAATTATTTATTTTTCAGATTCAAATGACAATCACATGATAAACTTCTAATCATTTAATTTTTAGATTTAATTGAAAATCACGACATAATAACAAACACTTGTGATGGTCGTTCAAATCT